GTGACCAATCGTACCACCCAGCATGCTGGGATGTGAGGTTGCTATTCGCAGTTCTTAACACCGCAGCTGAGGTCCTGGCATTTTCAAATGATTAGCTTTTTTCTTGTTCAATGAAAGAAGTCTCAAGGTTGTCCTCGAAACAGCACTGCACTCAGAGCACATGCACCCTGATGGGTACTCCTGACTGCTGAGTGTGACTGTCAAGTTGGTTGGGTTATGCCTAGGAGGTCGGGACAGCACTCTGTGGGCCTGTCTGCCGTTCCAGGTTGGCTTGTGAGTCAGCAAACGGAGGGGAAAGAGCTGCCCCAACTGTGGTGCACAGCCTGGATGAACAAAGATGGCAGACGGAGGAAGTCAGCCTGGAAACTCGCACGCTCCATGCTGCTTACACAGGCACACCTTTGCCGTCACACTCCAGTTTCTTTAGCCTTTCAGCGTGGACTCCCACCAGGGGCTCTCCAGGAGCTTCTAGGCCTCTGGCCTCTGACGGACTGCATCCTGGCCCTCTTGTTCTGAGGATCCCAGCTGCTGGGCTGAGGAGCTACTGAGTCCTCCAGGCCCCTGGTAGGAGATAGGTTCACAACCAAGCTAACAGATCCCCTCTATTTTATATCTGCACAAACTCGATTCTGCTCCTCCAGAGAGCTGTCATGCGTGGACACTCTGGAAGGTTCACAGTTCAGCACTTACCTATCTGATGTGTGCCACATGTGCCGGGCTCTGTGGGACACTAATGTCCGGGAAGTCACCGCAGGAGCTTCAGGCCCTGCCCCGACCAAGCTGATCAGCCCGCAGGGAGCAACGGCAGTTTAGAAAGTCCTCAGCAATGTTTTCCCCTCTTTTGTTAGATATGTCCTTCAGAATTTTAAGTACCTAATTTGAAGACTTCCTATGCATTATAGATTAAGTGCTTCATACATGTTATGTTCCAATCCCTTCCAATTATTTTTAACCCTCCCAGGACCTGCTATTTAGATGTTCACACATTTTCTACTGGGCATACTCCTTACCCACTCGCTGTTGCGACTTTGTTACCTTTAAGGTCTTCTCAGAGTTTTGCACCTGCCTTTCAACTCGCAAGTTCTGTCTCCCTGCCACTTGAAGCATTTAGTTGGGTTTCACAATTTATCCTTATAAAACAGACTGTAAACTCAGTATTTCCAGTGTGTTTCTCTTGCACTTTGCCTCTGCTTTCCTCCTCTTCTACTCAGCACGGCCTCCCCGAGTCGCAAATCCTTGAGATGAAGGACAGACCCCAAGGAGGCCCCACAGCACCTGCCCTCACCCCCGCGAAGCATGCAACAGATTCCTCCTGAGAGTGGCAGCTCCAGTGGCTTGGTTCTTTTCTTTTCTTTCTTTCTTATCTAGTACTGGGGATTGAACTCAGAGATGTCTCACTAAGCTACGTCCCCGGGTCTTTTTTTTATTTTGAGACAAGTTTTCGCCCAGTTGCTAAGTTGCCCTGGCTGAGCTAGAACTTGTGATCCTGCTTCCTCAGCCTCCTCGAGTCTATCTGTGCCACCAGTTTCTTTATTACTCACAAGTGTTATGGTCCCTGCCATCTCCAAGAGCAGCATCTCCATTTCCCGAAGGCCCAGTAGCCATGCACGGTCCTAAGCCTCCTGGTCCACTGCATCCCACACCCTTGCACGTGGTGATGGAAAGAAATTAACAATAGCCACTTGCTGAATGACAGGCTTCAGTGAGGTCCCAATAGGCAGGCCCCAAAGCCAGAGCAGAGCACTGGGACGTGTGCTCATCATGGGAGCCCATGTGGACACACAGCCCTTAACCATAAGAAGCCTGCAGGACACCAAGCTCCCCGAACCACGGTTCAGTGGCTTATTTCTTTGATAGAACAAGCTGTTCTTTCACAGTCCTTAGAATCTAGATTAAAGGATAAATGCATAGGGTGGATAGAAACAATAAGTTTTGTGATTTTTCTGCTAGAATGCTGGGATGGAAGACTTTGAAGTTGTTCCCTCCTAAGTGTCTGAGCCAGTGACGTAGCTGACTTCCTGTTAGGCAGCAGCAGGGTGGTGGGACAACTTCCCTGCGCTGTACGCTAGCACACAGCACAGACCTCAGAGTCAGGGACCCGAGTCAAGAGCCAGAAAGCACTGGGAATGGGTGTGGGGGTCAGAAAGCCGCCGACACTCGCTGGGCCTGGGAGTTGGAGGTTTCCCCACCTGGGAGTAGAGGTTCCCCTCTAGCAGACCCCGAGGAATGCAGTTGCGGCCCTCCCTGCACCCTCAGCTTCAGCTGTCAGGGCGGTGTCTGGTGAGCAAGAGGACGTGTGGAAGCCCTGGCCGCCAGCAGCACACTTCACACTCTGAAGCCACCACTGGGATTTCCCAGGCAGCTTCCCAGGCTCCCTTTAGCTGGAGAGCAGGGACTGGGTGGAAAGCTGGGTTGATAGCGAACAAGTTTAAATTAGCAGCTCCCAGGCCGGGCGAGGCATCCCGCTCTGGAAAGATCCACAGGCCCACAGGTGGGAGACCAAGTAGGAGAGGAAGACAGTGGTGGGAAGACAGCTGAGTTGAAAGCGGGTTGTCCGTACGACCTGCGGGTACAGACAGAGCTGGCACATCCTGAACCCACCTGGCGTCTCCCTGGGCGCTCACAGGCCCAGCAGCCATGCACCTTGATCTGGGTGCACCTCTGTGTCCCGGGCCCTGATGGGCTCACGCGCTCAGCTGGAGACTCCCTGCACGCAGGGGCCCAGAGCCCTGGCACCGTGCTCACCCTCGCTGCACAGTCCTCCTCCCAAACGCCCTCAGCCACACCTTCCGGTTCGCCCTCTTCCTCAGGGAAGCCGATGCAGCCGCGGTCAGGCTAAGCCCTGCGTTTTGCTTGTCCCTGTGTTTTCGCGGAATCTCCAGGGAGGAGATGGGCAAAGAGCTAAAAGCCCCCTGTGTTAGTCAGGGATCCCGGGAAAATGGAACTAAGAGGTCTGAGACCCAGAAGAGCTGGTACTGTAGTTCACATTCAAAGGCCACAAAAGTCCAGGGTGGCCGCTCAGAGCTGTCAGGAGAGAAGTCCTCTCCCATGGAGGTGTCAGCCCTCTGCCCTACACAGGCCTTCAGGGATGCATGGCTGGTCACATGCAGGTGGGTGCCTCTTGTTTTCCCCAGGCCACAGTTCAATTGTTACTCTCATCAAAATGCCTCGCAGACAAACTCAGAACAGTATCTATGGTCAGGTCAAATCAGCACACAAAATTAGCCATTATACTGTGAAATTTGTCACCTTGTCTGTGATTGTTCTTTAACTGTTATATTGCACACACATAGTTATACTTTATATAACTAAAACAATGTTTATTATTTTGTTTAATACTATGCTTGTGAGTTGCAGCTATAGTGATTTTTCACTACAGTCTCATCATCTTCAATGCTGTATAATATTTCACTGTGTGGCTACATGGTACATTTATCCACTCAGTTGGCAGGCATGAAGGTAGTTTAGGTTGCTACACAGTGTTGCAAAGGCATCTTTTTACATATCTCCGTGTGTGTGTGTGTGTGTGTGTGTGTGTGTGTGCATTATTGCCGGGAAGCCACAGGTCAAGCATTGATCTACCTGGACAATCAGTATAGTGAAAAGGATACAAGCAGGAAGCCCTCTCCCTCATCAACTCTCCATGACATCTGCCATTGTCTCCCACCCACCATTTGATGACTTACTGTCCTGGTTACTTTTTTGTCGCTGAGACACAACACCTGATACTACAACCTACAGCGGAAGAGGTTTATTTGGCTCACAGCATGGAGAGGTTTCAGTCCATGGTTGGCGGCTCCAAGGCAGAGGGGCCTCGCAGAAGAGAAACAGAACATGCAGGACAGCGAGAAGCAAGGAGAGATAAGGGAAGGAGGGAGACAGGCCCTTCCAGGCCACAGCTCTTCCCACTAGGCCTCACCTCCCAGCACCCCATCCAGCTGTGCACCTGTCAGGACGAATCCAGCAGCACACCTGGGATCCAGTCGCCTCCCCAAAGCCCCACCTGTAAATGTGAAGTTTGAGCAGACTGCTAGATATAAACCCTAACCCTAACCAGCTTCTGTTCTCTCCCAAATGCTTCTCACAAACTGTTTTACAAATATTCTTTGAAGTAAAACTTACCTGCAGAAAAGTGCGTGTGTTTTGAAAATGCAGCACAGTGGATTCACCCAAACTGCACACATGTGCGTGGCCGAGATGGATCTGGAAGGTGACCGGCATGCAGAGGTGGAGGGTGTGTTGGAGGTGTGGGTTACACATGCGTGGGACGCTCTGGTTGTCTTGTGTCAGAAGTGACGCTGGGTGGCCCCTTCCCCTGCATCATGTCCACACGGGGAGGCCTGCCTTGTTTCCACTACGAGAGTAGGCAAAATCTTTACTGTTTGAAATGGCTTTTCCTTAACTGTTACTGTGATTGGGCACCTTGCCTTGTTTGTTTACCAGTATTTCCAAGTGGAATCCTTGCCAGAGGGAATAATTTTGCTTAGTGGTTATTTTTTTGTTTTGACTCTTTCCGGAAAGCTCAGCTCACCCACTTGTCTGGAGAGTGCCCTCCTGTCAGCTGCCCGCTCACTGTGGATTAATGTCTCTCCATCCATAACCTTCTTGGCCCTGGATGCATCACTCTAAAGTGTCCTAGGGACCCAGGGGGGGGGTCTCCAAGTCTTTTAGAGCGTCACTGACCCCGAACTCCAGGCGCTATGAGCCCTGACTGGTCGTTCAGGTGCTGTCACGTGAAAGTCCCGAGCTGTGCAGCTCCTTTCTGTTGTTTTACACTTGGCTGCTCCCTTGTTTCCTTGAACTTCACATCCGGATTGTGTCTGGGACGTGAAGCACATCAGTCCATGTTCCAGAAACCTCCACTGATGAGGGACTTCAGAAGAGCCGGTTGTCAGCTCACCCACCACCCACCCTGGGACGTTGGCCAGGTCATTTCCTCTTCCAGATTCAAGAGAGAACACGAAGGTACTTTCCCCAGCTGCTTACAGGTGCTGTGGGAATTAAAGGAGCCCTTTCACTGCACTTTGAGAGGCTGCCTGTGAAGCAGGGGCCGCGGCCGCCACCCTGCCCACCCCTCTGTCGGGCGAGGAGGAGCCCTTCCTTCCCTGGGCTCCGCTGCTCCTCACTTCCAGGGCAGGTGCTCCCTCTGCACCTCTGTGGTCTCAAGCGGGAGCTTGGCCCCTGCCAGCCGCTTTTCTGAGAACTTCCCCTGAGAAACTGGCTAGAACCATGGGTGAGAGACACAGATGTGCCGCCTGCCTGTGTCTTCTGAAACAATACGTGTGCTACTGATACAAGGCTGGGTGAGGACTGCAGGTCAGAAAGCACCCCCGGCGGAAACACAGGCATCATCACGGGGACTGTGGAAGCGCAAACGCGACTTGAGTACTGGCCGCACTGCGGAATGCAGCTTCCTGTGCTGCTGAGGCTGGAGCTGGAGTAGGGTCTGCTGGGTCAGCTGGGTGCTGGCAAGGAGGCCAGTGCAGGGAGCCCCGGAGCCAGCTGTGGGGCGCTCCCACCTGCTCTCAGGCCCTGGGAGGAACCGTGGGTGACGGAGCTGTGCCAGCTACAGGATCAATTAGGACTGTGAGGAGACAGCAGCACGTGGGTCCCCCTGTCATCAGCAGAGCTCTTCAGAGGTGGGCTCCGGCTGGCTCGGAGCTGCTGTCAGCCAGTTCAGCCTGAAGCCTGGCTAGGGAAGGAGCTGCAGCCGGTGCCCAGCTCCGCAGGTGCAGGGCTCACCCGAGCCATGCCGGCTCACCTCGCCCAGGCCAGCCCCTCCAGTGCCCCGACCACTGATGCTTCCCCTGAGGCATGTGAAGACACAGTGACCTTCACTGGGGTGGAGCTCGGGGGGTCCTGGGGCTCCTTCTACTCGGCCTATAAGGTAAGTACCCCGCCCACACCGGGCAGGAGAGTGCACCTCGAGGGGCTATAGTTTCCTCTCTCCTACAGAAGACAGACATAGTTTCTGATGTGTACAGATGTGGTTTTGTTATTTTTTTCTTTGCTGCTGCTGCTGAAAACTTGTGAGTAGTAACATTTACGTTTTGTTTTTTTTTTTTCTACTTTTCATTTGGTAAAAGTCATTGTAGTTAATACTACAGTGGTGATCGAAATGTCTGTTTCTGGGGGAAATAATAAGTTCACTAAAAGCAGCTGTGTCTGGTAGACGTTTGCACACATCAGAGATGGAGTTTTCTGCTAGGAGCTGCAGAGGTGTGGAAAGCACCCTGGTAGCAGTGATTCCCTGGGGCAGTGCCTGACGCAGGGAGGTCCCTGTGTCTGTGGATCCTGCTCAGTGGAATCCGGGAGAAATCAGTTCTTTGGAGGTAGTAGACAATGCTACACTTTGCAACGAGTTGCTGCCTGGACAAAGGAAGGAACGGAGTCCAATGAGTTCCACCTGCAGTGTCCAGGGCCACACGGGGAGCCCCTCCTTAGGCTGGCACTGTTCCCCGTTTGTGGGCAGGAACAAGTCAGGTATCTGGAAACCTGGTGTCCTGCTCTCACAGCAGGCACAGCCTCAACCCGTCCTTTTAGATCACAAGGAAAACACGTCCAGAAAAATTCTAGCCGTTGCTTTGCTGTCACTGGTAATCCTCTGGGTGTCTTGAAAGGATTTGGTTTGTACAGAAGAAGGCGGTCCCTGCTAGCCGCATCTGGGCGGGAGCTGGGCTTGTCTGCAAAAGCACAGGATGAAACTTTCAGCAGGAAGCTGTCGGGAGCCCTGGGCTGCAGGGTGCTTGGCAGGTACCCTGGCCAAGTAGAGGGAAGGAGTCCCTGGGGAGGGTCTCCCACTGCCTGCATCTGGGCAAATAAGACTGGAGTTTGCTTTGGCTTGCTGTGGGCTGCACCGGCCCCCTGAGCATCGAAGGCGTGCCACAGCCCTCCCTGCCCCTCCTCTCCTCTTGGTGACCCTACCTCTGTAGCCTTGTTATTTACAGAGCACGACAGCAAACAAAAGGAAGGACAGAGGGACACACCCCTGTGTGAGGGGTGGTAATCAGCAATGAGAGTGCTGCCCCCAGCCAAAAATAGCACAACAACTCTTGGTTCCCCACGAGGGTTCTGCTCCCCAGCACTGGGGAGAATCGTGTCCTCTGGTGTCCTCTGTCCCTGTGTCTGCGGCTGGATGGAGAGGGAAGCTGAGAGGAGCCACACCTCCTTGGGAGCTTCGGGAGTTCTGCCTCACTTCCCAGAAGATGCATTCCATGGGAAGCCAGCGCTGGGGACTGCGCTTGGGTGCGGGGACCAGGGATTGAACACAGGGCCTTCACGTTGAGCTATGTCCCAGTCCTTCTGCAATTTCAAGCTTTGATTTTGAGGCAAGGGCTCAGTAAGAGTTGCTCAGGCTAGACCTGGCCTTTCAGTCCTCATGCCTCAGCCTCGCAGACTGCCTCACTTGAATTTCTTGGTGGAATTTCATTCTGTGGTCTTCCTAACGCACCAGTGCAGAAGCAGGTCTGAGACAAACCCTTGGTCACAGTGATCCCTTTCCTCCAACACCCTCTGAGGAGCAGTGCCAAACTGGGCACCCTGGCAGCCTCCCAAAAGTGTTCCTTTAATTCCTGTGAGCTCTGTGAAAAACAGTCAAAACAGCACAAAATGGAAACGGTGACAGCAGCTACAACAGCAGAAATAAGAGAAGCAGCAGAGCCCTGCCTCCCATTTGGGGGCTGTCTTGGTGCCGATAGCTCTGACCTGTGATCTCTGTAAGTTTCTCATTTAATTCTCGCCCCCTCATCTGCATTTACTCAGATTCTGCCCATTCTTTAAGGCTCAGTGTGGCTTGCACCCTCCACCGAGCCCTTCTGGACCCCTCCTCCCTCTCAGCCTCTGTGCTGTCCTGGGCTCTGTTTCTCCCATGTTTCAACTCTGTCTGAAACTGCTGCTTCAACAAGGTGGTGGTCGGTGCCTTGCAGGCCTTGCACTGCTCCAGTGAAATATGTGGTTTTCGTGCATCCCTAGGCCCAGCACAGTGCTAGGGACACTCGGTTAACAGCTGCTGCATAAACAAAGCCCGCTGCCTCCTCGGCATCTGCACACATGCATTAGCAAGGCATGGTTTGCTTCCTGCATGAGTGAAGTGGGTCTCATGGCCCTGCCTGGGCTCTGCCAATGGCACTCTCGAGTCCTCTCCACAATGTACTCTGCTTGTCCCCACCTCTCTCAAAGCCAGCACGGCGTAAGCGACAGACCCCAGCAGGTGGAGTATGGAAGGCACTGTGTCCCTGCAGGCTGCTCCAGGGCCAGATCCAGCCCCAGGGATACAGGCCACCAACTGATCACAGCCACACCCAGCCACAGGCGTGCTGCTCAGAGGTCTCCGCCTGGGTTCTGCCTGGCCTTCCAGCTCCTCTCCCACCCCACAGCGACCTGTCAGTGTCTTTCTAGCCCCTCCCTCATGAGCAGGGAGCCTTTTCCTTCTCCCACCTCCATCACTGAGTCCAGCCTCTTCTCACACGGCTCCCCTGGCAGAAAGCTCAGGAGGGAGCTCATCCTACCACCTCCCATGTGGCTGCGGCTCCGGCTCCCAGCAGGCCTCATCTCCCTCCTCGTATCCAGTTTCTTCTACTTTCAAGACCCCACCCCATTCATTCCCCAGTCCGAGGCCGGCACTAAGGAGTCACCTGGCTCCAGGAATCTCCTGAAGCCGTCAGGAAGGGTGGAGCCCACTTATGGGAGGGCACAGAGGCTGCAGAAAGACGAAGACGAAACTCCACCAGACTCCTTCGTTAACAGTGTGTCGTAATGATGCGAAACCGAATTAAAAGCCAGGAGGAGGATTTGTCTGACTTACTTAAATTATAAAACCGCAAACGAGAGCTGGCCCCATTCCTCCTGGGTGGGGAGAGAAACACGCACGGGACGGTGACCATTGCTGACCGCGGACCGCGGTCTCTCACGGTCCCTCAAGGCACTGACCCTGGTGCAGTCGGCCTGCTCCCTCTGTCACCCTGTCCCGCTGAACACTCTTCCTCTGTTAGTACAACAGAATTTCAGCTCACCGTGCCCCAGCCTTTTCATGCTGTGCTACAGCAGGAGCTCAGCCTAAGAAGCTTCAGTGCAGTAATTATGTTTATTTCCACTCCAGAGCAGTAGAGGCCTCCTGCCCACATGGACCAGCCTGTCCCCTTCCGTGGCTGCCCTGCCCCTCCCTTTGCCATTGCCCACCTCCTTCCATCCCACCTCTGAGGCTGGCCGGTCCCCTGCCTCCCTGTTACCCCAATAATCAGTGGAAACCTTCTTGGAATCTAGGTGCCTAGGTCCCTGACCTGCTAACTGCTGTTGGTAGTGATCATTTTGCATTTACATCGAGCACTTCTTACCCTCCTCTGACTGGTTCCACTCAATAAGTTTGTTTTCTCTGGTTGAATGCTACAGTTCCTAGGCGAATTCCCACTGGTTTGCTGGGCCCCATTCCTTCCTGCTCACCTCTGCTCTGCAGACCTCGTCCTCCACTTCCCCAGCCTAGCCCCTGGCTAAGTTCTGCCTTGCATGAGGTGAGTCTGACTTCAAGCTGACAGCTCAGAACAGCACAGATGCTGCTGATTGGCTCCCCGAGGGTGGTGTGCAGTTTCCAAGCTATTTGTGTTAGAGAGTGACAAAGGAAAAGTTCCTCAACTAAATTTCCCTTTGTACTACGAATGCAGAGGACGGTAAGGGACACAGACTTGGTTAATTTGGAGTAAACCTAGTTATTGCAGGGTTTGGGGGCCAGGAAGGGTTTCCACACCCTCTGGCTTATGGATGGCAGGTAGCTGAGGAGGGCAGGGCCCGATCCCACAGAGGCTTTGAGTCTGGGTTGTAAGAGCAGCAGCAGGGGGGATTCTGTCCAGCATGGCATCTGGCCAGCTGGCAGCAGCTGTAACGGGAGTCTTGTCTGGTCTTCATCGGCAACTGTCCTTGTTCTGTGCCCTATCTAGATTCCCACCTTGCCCAGATCAGCCCCACACTGTTCTCTATGGCCTTTTGTCACAGCTCCTTCAAGTACAGCATGCTCCTTCCTCCTGGTTAAACTTCCTTAGCCTTAGGGTTTTACAGTTCACCAACCAGTGCTGGGCTGCAGGAAGCAAAGTGGCACTGTCTCTGATTGTCTTAGTTTCCTTCTCCTGTTGCAGAGACAAAATACCTGACACCCCAAATTAAAGGGGGAAAGGGTTATTTAGCTCACAGTCTATAGAAGTTTCAGTCCATCCTTAGCTGGCTCCAAAGCAGGGTGGCGTGTTCGACAGGCATCACAGAAGAGAAAGAGTTCATGGCAGGCAGAAGGCAGCAAAGCAAGCGAGGGACTCAGCAGTTTCTTTCTGTCCCTTTTATATTCTAGGTAGGCTACTGGGATTAGAGCGGTGCCAAACCAATCAATGGATTGATTTATTAATCACACACCCTTAATCCTAGCATCACATACTCTAGATTCAGCTACTCTGAAATGCACCCCCATGACTGCATGAGGCTTTGGGGGCATTTAGACCCAACCCATAGGGCTGGTCTTTCTCCTTGCATGGCATCTCAACCACAACTCCTACTTACTCATGAGGTTTCCATCCCATAGGCCCTACACCTAAAGTGGACCTTCGCGTTATAATATTGTGCTCTGTCAATTTAACAGGTGCTCTTTCTTCCTCTCCCTCCTTGGAGGGAGAGAAGCAACCCAGAGCCTTTTCATCAGTGCCCAAGTTCCCCTCACAGCCTTCACTACTGAATCATCTCCCTCTCCCGCCTCCCTCCACCACCTTTCTCTGGCATGGGGAGATTACTATACCATGCTCCCTAAACTGACTTTTCCAGCCTCTGTTCTAAATGTTCAAAAGACCCATCACCTTGCAATGGAAAAAGCCACTCCTTTCCAGCCACTTATGATCACCTCCAGGGTATGTTTGGAAGCTCAGAGCCAGCTTATTTGTCTGTGTCTGCAGGATTGGCTCTGAGGACAGCTGCTTTGGCCGGAGAGGGTTTTATGAAGGCAGTGAGAGGTAGACATCCATTATTGCCTCAAATGTCAGCCTGTCATCTTCAGATAATTTCCTGTTTGTATAGTGGGTAGGAGTGTTTCAAGCTATTCACCTAAGTGGGTAAGAAATGTAACTCTGTTGTTTTTGCGGCCACATTTAGCTTCTATCTGAGCCTCTTGGCCTCTGTGATTTGCAGAAAGTAACTTAGTCATCTCCGGACAAAATCAGATTCTAGAATTTTCTCCACCATCTTAGAAAGCTCTGTGGATAAGACCATGGGTCCTGGAGCCAGCCTCTGGGTGGATCCATCTGCTTGCTGGAGAAGGCCCCACCAAAGCATGACTTCGGGGGTTCACTTCCCCCCATGCCTTGGTTTCTCCATCCGAGGAAGCTAATACTTTATTGTCCTTTCTGTAAAGACTGTAAGAACAGCAAGTGGCCCCGAGTGGCTTTCCACATCACTAGCTATCACGTTCCTGGCAGGCAGCCTTCTCACCCTTTTCTCAGGTCCACTCATGGGGACAGGAGGAGCCCCACTCTGTGTGGAAGCTGCTTCCGGAGGGGCTGAGGAAACCACACAGGCCAGAGCAGATGGGGACAGCTCTCTCCATGCTTTTTGTCCTCAGACAACAGTGGTCAGCTGAGCTGTTTCCAATTAGAACACCAAAGTTGCACAATACGATACACCTACTTAGAGAAGGCTCATTTCTTACCCTAACTTCCTGTTACTACATCAGACTTTTTTCTGGGCAGGCTGAACAGCCCACTGTATGGAAGGATTTTGCAGAAATGGGAAATTATATCTGATCCAGAGAGGAATGGGTTCCATTGTGGACCAAATGCTTCTCAGACCTGCAGGTAGCACAATCACCCAAAACTATTTTAAGCTAGAAGAAATGATCAGTATCGTTTCCCATTTCCACGCTATTGATGTCTGCCTATACAGAAAGGGTCTCCTAACTCTTCTCAGCACCCTAACAATCAACTAGGTGACTTCACTTTATTATCAGCTCTAAGGGCAGGGACCTCAATAGCATTCTTTTTCTTTGGGTGCCAGTCCAATCTGGCTGGTGCTTTTTTTTTGTTTGTTTTTGTTTTGTTTTGTTTTTTTGGTCCTGGGGCTCGAACTCGGGCCTTGAGCTTGCAAGGCAGGCAGCAGAACCACTGAGCTAAATCCCCAGCCCCAACAGCATTCTTTTTCTTAAACTAAGTATGAAAATAATGACTGCCATAAGTTAAAAATGATGAAGGTGTGAACATCCTAAATCATAAAGAAAAATAAATAATCAGAATAGAAACAAAAGTAAAGATGAGGTTCTACACTAGTAAAATACTAAGCTTTGAACAGCAGTGGTTTGACACACCCAAGGTTTATTTCTCTGTCACAGCCGCTGGAAACAAGTCAACTCATATGTGCATCCTCTAGAACCAGTGATATTTTCCAGGGAAGGTGACCAACTTCTTCTTATTGGTCTTAGCCTGAATGACACTCGACTTCAGTGTGAGTCCATTTGCAAGAATGAGCTCCTGATGTCTGGGACCTGTGCCGGGGCAGGCAATGCACTCCCTGCTCCCGAGCTTTGCTTGACCTTCACCCTGTGCAGGATGAAGATGCTTCCACT